TCAACCAATGATGCCATCATCAAATCAGGATGAAGTTGTAGGTGAAGGGGATAAATGATGAATTGTAATGTTTAGACAATTGTATAAGTCCTATGACCAACATTTTGATGCGTGTGAGATAATTTTGTATAACACAACACTTTGTTAATCTTTAGACAATGTTAGTGTTGTTTTATCACTGCTTATTGTATCCTCTGAACAAGTGCAAACTGTGGCTTGTGCCATGAAATATTTTGGATTCACTGCATATTGAATCTTTCTTGTTGCTTATGACAATCACTATTTATGTCTCAGTTGTTATTAACCATTTATGTACAGTTTGTGACTATGTACAGCTTATGACAATGATTTATTCATATTTTGGATTGATTAACCAATATGAAAGTGAGTGAAGTATACTGCTTATAGTTTTATTTCAGAAACAGGAAACCAAAAAGACAAATATGACAAATGACAAATATGAGAAACAGGAAACCAAATATGAAAATGACTAAATCTAAAGCCTGACAAATCACAATTGCGTATTGGTAACTTTTTTAAGTTCAATTCGTAAAGTGAAACAATGTATCTAAAGCCATGTGAACATATCAGATTCTTACTCAAACACAACTCTCTTTAGTCATATCAGATTCCTACTCAAACACAACTTTCTTTAATCATACCAGATTCCATACCATATAAAACCAATATACGTACCTCTCTTTAGTGATAAAAGATTCCATAACCAGAATTCAATTTCTTACTCAAACACATCAAACAACTCTCATTTTCATTAAAATGGAATAAAGGTACATCACTCAAAGACATCATCCCATTCTCATCATCATTGAAACTAAAACTGTGTTTATTACTAATAAAACACAAACCAAAATGATGAACACCTTCATCCACTTTTCAACAATGAAGACACATTTCTGTAACTTAACTAACATTTTCCTAATATTATCCATTTCTTCACTGTTCAACAAACTTTGTTTGTTTCCTTCACACTTCAAGCACGTCCCCATTTCATGTTCCGCAACATCACTGCACCATTTGAAGTAGTTGCAACCACCGTCTTCAGTACCACTCTGTAAACACAACAATCTATTCTCAAAAACAGTTCCACATAATACATAGTTGAAATCGATCATACCTTATACTTCGAGCTTCCCCAAAATTGCTTCCCACGATTCTTCATAGTTTTAGTAGTTCTCCACGCACATCACTCTCCATAGTGAGAAATCGGTGAACACACATTAAGGTTCTCCTTCCGCCACACATTGCAGCTCGACGAACAACATGAATGATCCTTGGACATCGTCTTAGAACAAGTTCGTTCAGCACCAACCTGCGTCGCACAGAAACACCTTCCAACAATAAACTAAACAAGGTCCAAGACCAACATCGCTCTCCTCAGGCACACATTTAAATTAGGGATTTGAGTGTTCCAATTTAGGGATTTATTGAAATCCCAATTAATTTTGATTTTGTTTCCCCAAATAATGTTGCGTGCTCACTCAGTTAAACGTTGCGTTTTATTCATTTAATGTTTTTTAATTTAAGCGTTGCGTTTTCAATGATTAAGTAATTCAATGGAAGTTATCCAACTCAGTACACCATACTATGCCACGTTAGTAAAACTTGTTAATTTCACCCTGCCACACTCAACATTTTTAAACGCCGTTTACCCAAATTAATGGCAAGATCTTAATTGATCAAATTTTTCATCTTTAGGGACCTAATTGAGAGATAAAACACTACGATGACCTAATTGAAAAAATTCTCCAAAAATAAAGATGTTCTAAATGATTAAACCTAAGTTTTTTAGCAAAAGAAGAGAAAAATGAGGTTAAAAGAGCTAAATAAAATGATAAAAGTGTAACTTTTAATAAATTTATATCTAATTTGTAATATTTGTTTGATTAGACATGCAAAATGAGTTTAAATTCGTAACGTGATGTTCAAACTGGATTGAGGAGTAAAAGTAATTTTTTTTAAAATTGGATCAAATTAAACTTGTAGATTAAATGGCTTTGATCCGTAGGTGATTTGACCATCACCATTATTTATTAATTCTTTTATAAATTTTTATTATAATTATTTATTACTTGTAATTATACAAATCAATAATATAATTAATTTTGGAAATTAAAATGTTACTCAATAACATTTAAATAATTTGGATGTTTATTAACTTTTTTTAATTAAATTAGATAGGTTTCAATTATAATAATATTTAGTATAAAAATGAAAGTATTGATTTTAACAAATATATAAAATAAATTTAAAAAAAAAAACATAAGTCGTATATAATTTTATGACTCACGAAAAAGTAAACTTCATTAAACTGATTCATTTTAATTTTAACTTTGAATTTGTGGTGAGACAACTTATACTAATGAACTGATATGGCTCACTTTTAACACCTGATCATATATAATTAATACAGTTATATATTTGTTATTATATATTTTATCATAAGGTTATAATAATAATAAATAATATAAAAAAAATCAAAATGCTACAGTCCAACTCTGAAACAAAGTGATATTTTGGGTGCCGGTGGACTGAAGGGCATAAAATCTGAGTGACATTATCTTGAGTTTCTGAGATATTTAGACTGAATGGCCCCACCAATGTTCTTGTCTTAGAAATATCTTCCATTCAGCAGTGACTGTCTTTGCATATATTGTTGATCCTGTAATGCTTACTGCATTATCTCTTCAGCTCAAATATTGGTGAAACATTCTATTGGTAGAAATGGAGACTGAGTTGGTGAAACGCAGAATTCACATGATCGCAGCCCACTTTGCTTCCAAGGATGATACTTCAGCTACCCATGTTCTGCCAATGGTAATAATACACTCTGCTCTTTTCTTTCTTTCTTTATTTCCATTAACACTCTTTTATCTTCTTACTTTGCTCATAATAATGGAATTTTAATCTTCATGTCACTACCTTTGAATAAATTCTGAAATTTCACTTACAGAATG